CCATAAAACAAAATGAGACTAATGGGGCACAACAGGCCAGGGACAAGGACTAGAAGGCAGGAAGGGACAGGAAAGCTGGTAATAGGGAACTCAAGGTCGAGAAGACAGAGTGTTGACATGTTGTTGTGTTGTTAACCGATGTTATAAAACAATATGTGTACTAACTGTTTAATGAGAAACTGTTCTGTAAACCTTCTCTAAAGTACAGTAAAAAAAAAATTTAAAATACTGTATTTTTATGAAAAATAACTAAGTTTTCCAAATCAAAAAATAAATGGTAAGTTTGGCATTGTTTTAAAAAAAGAAAGAAAGAGAATCCTTGACAAAATAGCATTTAATTCTCCATACATGTAATAAGCTTGAGTTTTGTAATATTTTTTTCATGTTTCTAATGTTCACTCTTGTCTGTCAGTCCATCATACTGTGGTGGCTTGTGTGTTGCTGTGATGTTGGAAGCTATATATGCCAACAGTATTTCAAATACCAGCAGGGTCACCCATAATGGACCGGTTTTAGTGAAGCTTCCAGACTAAGACAGGCTAGGAAGAAGGACCTCTCAGTCTACTTCTGAAAAAATCGGCAAGTGAAAACCTTAAGAATAATAGTGGAACATTGCCAGAAAACAAGCCCCTCAAAATACAACTGGGAAAGAGCTGCCTCCTTAGAGTCAAACTTAATGATGTGGATGGAGTAAAGCTTTCAGGACCTTCATTTGTTGATGTGGAACAATTCAAAATGAGAAGAAATAGCTGCAAACATCCATTAATAATTAGAACATGGAATATACCAAGTATGAATCTAGGAAAATTGGAAGTAGTCTAAAATGAAAAGGAATGCGTAAAGATCGAGATCCTAGGCATTAGTGAGCTGAAATGGACTGGTATTGGCCATTTTCAGTTGGACAGTAATGCAGTCTACTATGCCAGGAATGACAAATTGAGAAGGAATGGCATCACATTCATCATCAAAAAGAACATTTCAATATCTATCCTGAAGTACAATGCTGTCAGTGATAGGATAGTATCCATACACCTACAAGAAAGACCAGTTTATACAACTATTATTCAAATTTATACATCAACCACTAAGGCCAAAGATGAGGAAATTAAAGATTTTTACCAACTAAATGACCAAGGTCCAGATGAGTTATGGGACAACATCAAGGACATCATACATGAATAAAGCAAAAGGTCATTAAAAAGACAGGAAAGAAAGAAAAATCCAAAATGGATGTCAAAAGAGGCTCTGAAACTTACTTCTCAATGTAAGTTATCTAAAGCAAAAGGAAGAAATGATGAAGTAGAAGAGCTGAACAGAAGATTTCAAAGGGTGGCTGGAGAAGACAAAGTGAAGTATTATAGTGAAATGTGCAAGACCTGGAGTTAAAAAACGGAAAGGGAAGAACATGCTCAGCATTTCTCAAGCAGAAAGGACTGAAGAAAAAATTCAAACTTGCAGTTGCAATATTGAAGGATTCTATAGGCAAAATATTGAAGGACCCAGAAAGCATCAAAAGAAGATGGAGAGAATACAGAGTCACTGTACCAAAAAGAATTGGTCAATGTTCAACCATTTCAAGAGGTAGCATTTAATCAAGAACTGATGGTACTGAAGGAAGAAGTCCAAGCTGCACTGAAGGCATTGGAGAAAAAACAAGACTCCAGAAATTGACCAAATACCAATTGAGTATTTCAACAAATGGATGCAGCACTGGAAGTGCTCACTAGTCTATGCCAAAAATTTTGGAAAACAGCTTTCTGGCCAACTGACTGGAAGAGATCCATATTTGTACCCATTGCGAAGAAAGGTGACCCAACAAAATGCAGGAATTATCAAATAATATCATTAATATCATATAAAGTAAAACTTTGCTGAAAATAATTCAAAAGTGGTTTCAGCAGTACATCAACAAGGAACTGCCAGAAATTCAAGCCAGATTCAGAAGAGGATATGGAATGAAGGATATCATTGCTGATGTCAGATGGATCTTGGCTGAAAGCAGAGAATACCAGAAAGATGTTTACCTGTGTTTTATTGACTGTGCAAAGACTTTCAATTCTGTGGATCATAACAAATTATGGATAACATTGAGAAGAATGGGAATTCCAGAACACTTAATTGTGCTCATGAGGAACGTATACATAGACCAAGAGGCAGTCGTTCAAACAGGACAAGGGGATACCATGTGGTTTAAAATCAGGAAAGGTGCACATCAGGATTGTATTCTTTCACCATACTTATTCAGTCTGTATACTGAGCAAATAATCCAAGAAGCTGGGCTATATGAAGAACATAGCATCAGGACTGGAGAAAAACTCATTAACAGCCTGTAATATGCAGATGATACAACCTTGCTTGTAGAAAGTGAAGAGGACTTGAAGCACTTACTGATGAAGATCAAAGACTGCAGCCTTCAGTATGGATTAAGCCTCAACATTAAAAAAAAATCCTCACAACTAGACCAATAAGCAACATCATGATAAACAGAGAAAAGATTGAAGTCAAGGATTTCATTTTACTTGGATGCATAATCAATGCCCATGGAAGCAGCAGTCAAGAAATCAAAAGATGCATTGCATTGCATAAATCTGCTGCAAGAGACCTCTTTAAAGTGTTGAAAAACAAAGACGTCACTTTGAAGACTAAGGTGCACCTAACCCAAGCCATGGTATTTTCAGTCACCTCATATGCATGTGAAAGCTGGACAATGAATAAGGAATAATGAAAAAAAAAATTGATGCCTTTGGATTATGGTGTTGGATAAGGATATTGAATATACCATGGACTTCCAGAAGAAGGAAGAAATGTGTCTTGGAAGAAATACAGCCAGAATGCTCCTTAGAAGTGAGGATGGCTAGACTTCATCTCACCTACTTTGGACATGTTATCAGGAGGGACCAGTTCCTGGAGAAGGATATCATGCTTGATAAAGTAGAGGGTCAGCAAAAAAGAGGAAGACCCTTAGTGAGATGGATTGGCACAGTGACTGCAACGATGGGCTCAAACATAGCAACGATTGTGAGGGTGACACAGGACTGGGCAGTGTCTCATTTTGTTGTACATAGATTCTCTATGAGTTGGAACCGACTCAATGGCACCTAACAACAGCAACAATGTTCACGGCTACACCAGTGAAGGCCATTGATTTCTTCACTGCAGGAAAGGTGCAAAAAACCTAAAGCTGGTCTCTTTTTTTAATTTTTTGTAGGGAAAAATAAAACATTAAGATAGTCTAGCCTAAAAATATATCTGCTGAGAAGTTTTTATGTGACTAGAGTAATGAGAGATTTAATAACCAATGTAGAAATACAGTGGAGGGGCATACATAGACATTTAAGCAATGGATATTTAGAAGTGGTAGAAGGAAATATAATTTCACAAAGCAAATTTTAAATTTTTGCCCTCCTCCTACTCCTCCAAAATGTATACAAACTATAAAAGGAGATGGAGGGGGAGCAGTGGGTGGAATTCACAGAACTCTACATGGTTCTGTGGCGATCACCTTCCACTGACAAGGCAATCACTCAAGAGGATTAATGGGCTGGGATTGAAGGTGGGAATAGGAGGGAAGTATATGTCTTCCCTTCTCCAGTTTCAATACAGCCCCTTGTTCTCCTGCATATTCTATACTATATTTGTCAGTATTTGAAGGCTCAGTCCCATCCAGATTCTGAAACAACCTAAATCAGATTGAGAGTACATTTTAGCCTTATCCCTACCAGTATGGGCCTTGATTTTGCTCTTTGGAGCCTGTATCCTTCTCCTCTGATATTCACTATGTGTTCTGCCCTTTCTTTCTTTTAATTTTATTTATTTTGTTGTTGTTGTTGAGAATATACACAGCAAAACATATACCAATTCAACAGTTTCTACATGTACAATTCAGTCACATTGATTACATTCTTCCTGTTGTGCAACCTTTCTCATCCTCCTTTTATTAGTTGGTCCTCCCCCAGTCACATAAACTCACTGCCCTTTAAGGTTCCTGTCTAATGTTTCAAGTTGCTGTTGTCAATTTGATTCCATATAGATAGTTCTTAAAACGGCATAATGCTCAAGGCAGACGTTTTTTACTAGTTAAGCTAAACTGTTATTTGGATTTAAGAAGACTTCAGAGGATATTTTTGGTTTAAGGTTTAAAGATTATCTCTGGGCAATAGTTACAGGGCTTCATTCACCCAGCTTTCGTTGCTCTAGAAAGTCTGGAGTCCATGAGAATTTGAAATTCTCTTCTGTATTTTCCTCCTTTTGATCAGGATTCCTCGATAGAATCCCTGATCAAAATGTTCAGTAACGATAGCCAGACACCATCCAGTTCTTCTGATCTCATGGCATAGGTGGCAGTTGTTCAGGGAGGTGATTAGCCACCCATTCCATATCCTCTTCCTATCCTTGACTCTCCTTCCTCTGTTGCTCCAGACAAATAGAGACCAATTGTACCGCAGATGGCCGCTTGCGGGCTGTTAAGACCCCAGGTACTATGCAAGGAACTAGGGGGTACAACAGAAGCACTAAACACATTGTTAGGCCAATTAACTGGGTTGTTCCATGAAACCATGACCCTAAACCTCCAAACTAACGAACCAAATCCCTAGGTGTTTAGCTGTACATAAGCAGCCTCAACAGCTACTCTTTATTTTTCTTCTTGTCATTTTGTAAATATATCTATCACACAACTTTTGCCAATCCAACTTTTTACAGGCGTAGAACTTTTTTTTTTTTTTGGATGTGCTGGTCAAGTTTATTTATATTACATTTGATCATGTCAATAACATTTAAGTCCCTGGAAGTTTGTATTTACAAACAGAATCCAGTACATTTCTAGGAGAATACGTTCTTGGGAGAATACTTTTTTTCTCTGCAAAACCAAAAATAGAACAGGATAGAATTAATAGGATATTGAGTAATTGCATGAACACCTTGCTTCACTTTGGGGTCTTCTCTGGGATTTCAGAGTAAACTGTATCTAGAAGTTGCCAGTGACAATTCATGAGGGAATCCTAGAGTTCCTCACTTCTCACGATAAACTCTGTGTTTAATGTCTCAATATTGAAGTGAAGGTTTGGATTGTCTTTCTATTGTTAGGGAATATCCCCATTTCTCAGTCCTCCAGAAAGACCCAGAGAGGCAGTTTAGCTGAAGCTATTACCATAGAAGCTGTTTCCAAAAATAGGACAAATCGCTGAAGAGACTGGCTTAGGCAATCTACATTGGAATTTTCCAGTTGAATCTCTGTTTCTAGCAAGCTAAGTGAATAAGCAGCCTGGAAATGGGGTTATGTTCTGTTTTCAACCACTGTAGCACAAAGTTTACGTTACCTTCTAGTGGATCTTCATCTTGGTTTTCAGCCAGAGCTGTGGTTCCCTCACAGATAATAACTGAAGTCCCAGCTAGGTGTTCTGGGGTCTCAAGCGTGGAATGAAGACTGTCTCCATTTCCACCCAATTCACAGCCGTTACTGTAGCCAGAAAGAGGGTGACTGCCCTGTTGTCGCTCATACCAGTGGCCACAGTGATAACTCTGGTGTGGCTGGAATTCTCGCTTCACCTTTTGCCAGTACCAGTAATAATGATTTTGTTGAGCTATGTCAAAACCTGCAAAACTCTTTTGTTCAGCCATTTATCCAGAAACTTTACAAAATGAGACCAGGAATCCACAATTTTTTCTCCTCCAAGAAAAATTCCAGCTGCTCTGCTAAGAACTCGCAACCCTGACAAATACCTAAGAACTCTCAACCCTAATAAATTTCTCCCACAACTCAGGTGAACAACTTCTTGACAGCAATTACATGTTCTGTCCCTTCTAATAAGGAGCTATGGTAGTGCAGTGGTTAAGCCCTCGGCTGCTAACCAAAAGGTCAGCAGTTCAAACCCACTAGCCACTCTTCCGGAAAAAGATGTGGCAGTCTGCTCTCATAAACATTACAAACCTATAGGGCAATTCTATTCTTTCCTGTAGGGTCACTGTGAATCTAAATTGACTTAACTGCAATGGGTTTGGGATTTTTTTTGGTCCTTTCTAATGGTTTGCTGCTCAGATTTTTAATGATAGCTTCTATAATCCTGCTGTACATCTCAGCTCATTGGAACAGGGTTTGACCACCCTGCCCAGTTCTTTTTAACTCTTTCTAAGAGCAAATTTTGATCCCCAGTTTTCTCAGTTGCTGATTGTTGCCTTGCTGCAAATCATACTACTTTTCCCAACTTCTGGAGTCATTACTTGACTGTGGGATTCTGCATCACACAAAAAAGTGAACTGTACAAACCTAGCTGCTAACCAAAAGGTCAGCAGATCGAATTCACCCGTCTCTCCTTGGAAATCCTACGAGGCAGCTCTACTCTGTCCTATAGGGTTCCTATGATTTGGAATCAACGCGATAGCAATGGGTTTGGTTTTTGGTTTTGGTTAATTCATTCTATAGGGAAGTTTCTAATGTTAATCATTTTTCAGCGTAAAGAAATATGTTCCCAAAGCATAAATAACTAAATAGATATATCCAAAGCAATCCATGAATGAATAGTAATATATGCATGTCTTAATATAGGTCAGAGGTAAAGATTTCTCAGAAGCACAGTAGAAAAGTAAAAATATATATTTGAGTTGAGACCAAGGAAAAAATCTGAAACATTTCATTTAATTAGAAGGGTTTTTCTTCTTTTTTTTTTTTTTTTTTTGCATAATTTTGTGCTTGTTTAGTCATTTTAGCATCTTTAAACTCAATGAATGGCCTTTGTAATTACATTTGGCTCAGATATGCATTAACTTTATGTTAATTGTGGGGCTAATGCAGTGTTTGAGCATAAACCAAGAACCTTATGTTTGCAGTTAGCAATTTAATCTTGCTTTTGAGGAAGTTGTAACATGAAATCACCATTTAGCCTTGTAATAACTTTTCTTAGGGTCAAGCACATTCCATTAAGTTTGGCATTGGGAATGGAAGAAGATGCATGGAATATGTTTTAGTTACAGAAATCATCAGTATAATTAATCTTTATTAATGCAGAGAATGCAACATCTAGTAATGAAGCAATTAAAAAAAACAAATTTGAACATTTAATCAATTTATTTCTATTTCCTTGCATATGGTACTATAGGGGTTCAAGAATAGACTATGGTTATTTGAGTAGAATTTGAACATTGTCCTAATTTTAAAAGGATTTTAAGAATAATTCCTAATTCATAATATGCACATATTTTCTTTTCTGATACTATACCATGAGCAACATCTTGATTAGATGCTAATGACAATGCTAGTGCGGTTCACATGTACTTCAGTAGGAGTTTAGTAACTTACACTGATCTGAGAGTGGAAGCACAAAAAGAAAAATACTTAAATCAAGATGTTCTTGGAGAAATTTCCTTACAAACTTCTATCATTTACTGAGCAATCTATGCAATTTGATATTATCAAAAAGATTTTCTGACTTAAATCACTATCTGACTTATGTTTCACTTGCCTTTGTTGTGTGTTTGTTTTCCTTAGATAAGAAATGTTGAAACCAATCAATGTTTAGACAACATGGGCCGCAAGGAAAATGAAAAAGTGGGTATATTCAACTGTCATGGTATGGGAGGAAATCAGGTAAACCCTCTTTTTTATTAACTTCATATTTTTCTGGAAAAATATTGCTGAAACAATAATTGTAGACCATGGCCCACATTCCAATAACAATATAGTCTTAGTTTAGTAAGTTAATGATCATTCAATAAAATTTAGCTATTTTACTTTCCCAAGTATCTTAAGAGAGCACTACAAAATTTAATAAAAATGGCAGCACTTTCAGTGATCCTACAGTTATTGAATGAGGCTATCCAAATATTCTAGACCCATCTCACTATACCATGGATGAACAAAGGACAGTATTTTTTTGTATAAAAGTTGTATTAATTATTGAAGATTTACCAGGTATAAGAAGGATGTTTGTGCTCTCTAAGTGTTGGAAAATGGTTCTGCAATGTGGGCTGCATCGAGGCAGCCTGGCTGCGCATCTTCTGGCTGGAGCAGCCCTGCTGCTGTGGCCACTTTAAGAGGTAGAGATTGCACCCCCAGGGGGCTGTTAAAGGAGCCCTGGTGGCTCAGTGGATAAGTGCTTGGCTGCTAACCGAAAGGTCAGCGGTTTGAACCCACCAGCCTGTCCACAAAAGAAAGATATGACAGTCTGCTTCCATAAAGATTCAGCCTTGGAACCCTGTAGGGCAGTTCTACTCTGTCTTACAGGGTCACTATGCATCAGGATGGACTTGACAGGTATGGGTTTTGGGGACTGTATAAACAAAACAGAGTTTGAGAGTGATTATCTCCATAAGTTGTCTGTATAAGTGGATAAAAACCACACCAGTGAGTTTTTAATCTAGTGATAGAACTTCTGGGTTAGAGTGAACAGAGTTAGCAAAAGATACTCTACCCGGCACGATATTATGGTTACATTTGTGATGCAGCTGAATGTGCCAAGGTTCCACAGATAAATGCATGTTACTTGTAAAGCGAGAGAAAATTGCCCTGTTGAGTTGTGGAACCATACTTCAGACCAAGCCTGTGTGATTCAATGAAGAAAATCAACAGGAAGTTTCTCTCTTTAAAAAAAAAAAAAAAAACTGTTTGTTAAAAGATTTTAAGTTAAGAAGGAAAATATTTAAACTTTTAAAATCACAACATGGAAAAATAACCATTGGAAGAAGATGACAAAAACAACATAGGCAGAGCCATGACGGAGCATTTTAAAACTGTCGAGCTTATGATTGTATTGATTCACAAAGAATGGGAGAAGCCTCTACTACAAAACACCAAAGGAGTGCCAATGAATTTAGCTGGAAACACCAAAAGTCTAATGATCAGAGGATTAAATGTCTAGGGCTTTAATTTTCTCACATAATAAGTCTGAAACAATTGCTGACATTTGTTCAGGTCCTCAGTGATTCCCTCAGGAAACCAGACACTTTCTATGTTTCCATTCTTCAACCCTTAGAACTGTCTTTTATCAGCAGTTGCTTACAAGAGGGCTGCTGAAACTGCAGACATCATGCCCATATTCAAGGCAGGAAAAAGCGGGGTAGAGAAAAGCTACAATAGCCATGTCTCTCCTTTTACTCGGAAAAGGAAAAAAACCTTCCTAGAGGCTCAACACATGTCCACATATGTCTCTTTGGCCATAAATGTTACTTGGGCATTCCTAATGCAAGGACTGGCAAGTGAATATTTCACCGCACACTCACAAATGGCACTCCTCATAATTTATTTAGCATGAATATTGTGTGGGCATTTAGAAATGTCTATCATAATCTGTTTCAAAAGCTTGTGAGGAAATCAACTAATCATCTGCACCATGATGATCTATGGAATTAAAAAGCAAACAAAACGTTAGTTATGAAATCGTTCTTCTTCTAATGCAGATGAAAATGAGGAAGGAAGATGCCCCGTATGAATTATCCACGTAGATTCGTTAAAGTGCCACAGTTTAAAAGGATAACCAGTCATACATGCATATTTTTAATTACATGCATATTCATGACAACTGTGTCTAAGTGACTTCAAACATCTGGAACATAAGGGTTAAAAAATTTATCATTCATCTATCCAGAAACAAGCTATCCTACTCTACTGTAAGCTTCTTGTTTGCAGAAACTATTTCTTATTCCTCTTTTCATCCCCAGAACTTGACATGGTGCTTGGGATATGTTAGGCACTTAATAAATACCAGTTTGAGTAAATGGATAGAAGAACGCATGGTCTGAACAATGGATTTGTACCTTACTGCCATGTAGACATTGCTAAGGAAAAATTAGCTATTCTTGTCATAGTAACTGAAAGACACCAATTTTAGGAATTTATAAAGAAAATGAACAAATAAACAGTAAGCAAAAAAACTCATTCCAACATATGTTCAAATTTCTATAGATTATCAATTTAATGGCAAGATAGAAACCAAGACAAATATTTTTCTATCTGCATGAATATTTGCTCATGTGCACAAATATTTATGTACGTGAATATTTATTGGAGACTTTTTTGTTATAAAACAAACAATGGGACCAACTAAATATTTACTAAGAAACTAATGGTTAAATAAATCACTACAGAGAATATTATATAGCCACCAAAAATGACTGGGAGACGACTGTATGTACTGTCATCAAGAATTGAAAAAGCAAAATCCACAGTGCAAGTTACTTTGAATGATCTCATTTATGAAAAAATGTGAGTATGTATGCTAATGGAAATATAGACAAATCTATATAGCAATACCTCTGGAGACAAGGTAATCTGGAGAGACAATTGAGTTGGAATAGAAATTTTCACTTTTTACCCTGTAATTTTTGTGTATATGTATTACCTTCATAATTAATCAAATAAAAATGGAGAAAATTGAACTGTTGAGAATAAAAGAATATGATTTTATAGCATCACACTAACCTGATTAATTGAGTAACCTATGATAAGATGCAACCACTTTTCAATTATCTTCAGCAAAAGAGGTTGCAGCAGTATTTCGACAGGAACTTCCAGAAATTCAAGCAGGATTTAGAAGAGGACATGGAAGGAGGGATATCATTGCTGATGTCAGATCGATCTTGGCTGAAAGCAGATATTTACCTGTGTTTTATTGACTACGTAAAGGCATTCAACTGTGTGGATCATAACAAATTATAGATAACATTGCAAAGAATGGGAATTCCGGAACACTTCATTGTGCTCATGAGGAACCTGTACGTAGACCAAAAGGCAGTCATTCGAACAGAACCAGGGAGTACTGGATGGTTTAAAATCAGAAAAGGTGTATGTCAGGGTTATATTCTTTTACCATACTTATTCAGTCTATCTGCTGAGCAAATAATCCAAGAAGTCAGACTACATGGAAGAGAACGTGGCATCAGGATTGGAGGAAGACTCATTAACAACCTGCATTATGAAGATGACACAACCATGCTTGCTGAAAGTGAAGAGGACTTGAAGCACTTACTGATGAAGATCAAAAACTACAGTCTTCAGTATGGATTACCCCTCAACATAAAAAAAAGCAAAAATCCTCACAACAGGACCAATAAGCAACATCATGATAAACTGAGGAAAGATTGATGTTATCAAGGATTTCATTTTACTTCATTCCACAATCAACACCCATGGAAGAAGCAGTCAAGAAATCAAACATGTTCCATTAGGCAAATCTGCTGCAAAAGACCTCTTTAAAGTGTTAAAAGCAAAGATGTCACTTTGAGGACTAAGATGCGCCTGACCCAAGCCGTGTGTTTTCAATTGCCTCATAAGCATGGGAATGCTGAACAATGTATAATGAAGACCAAAGAAGAATTAATCCCTTTGAATTATGATGTTGGCGAAGAATATTGAATCTACAGTGGACTGCCAGAAGAGTGAACAAATCTGTCTTTGAAGAAGTACAGCCAGAATGCTCCTTAGAAGTGAGGATGGTGAGACTTTTTCTCACATAATTTGGACATGTTGTCAGGAGGGACCAGTCGCTGGAGAAGGACATCATGCTTTGTAAGGAGAGGAAGACTCTCAACGAGACGGATTGGCACAGTGGCTGCAGTGATGGCTCAAGCATGGCAACGATTGTGAGGATGTCACAGGACTGGGCAGTGTGTCCTTCTGTTGTACATAGGGTCGCTATGAGTCAGAACTGACTCGACGGCACTTAACAACAACAGGATAAGTTACTTAATATTTTAAAGCTTTAATATTTAATTATTCAAATGATACAAGATTTCCCTCAATTTTTTTTTCTCTAAAGATAAATAAAATTTGTAGAACAACTAACACCAAGCACAGCACATACTAGGCACTTTGTACATATTGGTCTATTGCCATTAATTATTCTCTTTAATTACTATTTCCATTTATGTTCTCAGATACTTCCCTTTTTACTTCTAAAAGTAAACAAATAAAATGTTCATTCAATGGTTAATGCCAGAAACAAAATAAAAAGCAACACTTCCTGTGGTATTGTTCAGTTCAACAAAATGAAAGCCTCTCCTGCTATTCTAATAAATATATATTATGAAAAAATTAAATGATCACCTAAAGCTATTGTTATGATTGTGTTTTGATGAGACTCAGTATTCTGAGGATGTTTATTACTAGGGACACGCTTAAATGTTCGTCTTGCTCAATTTGAAAAACAACAGAGTTTAGCATTTTATTCTCAGAGCTACTCTGCTTTTTATTGCCATTCTTTTATGTTATCATGGTTATTTAGCTTGAATTTTTTGAAGTACCCCCTAACCCATAAAGATATTCAAATCTCTGTCCCATTTTTACACAAAAGTCTTAACAAATGTTAGCATAGGTGTTTTGTTTGTTTAGCATTTCATTTCAGTTACATGTCTAAAAGAAGGTACTTTATGTTTTGTTGGCAATTATACTTTAATCATTTCTCCATGCATTACTATTATTAAGTTTTTGGAGATATCAGGAAGAAACTTAACATTTTTTGTAGTTGTAAGAAATGTTTTTCTTAAATATTGAAATATTCAGAAAAATGCAAGCTTGAATCAATGGATTTAGTAATACTGATGCAAATCCATTCACCTACACTCTATCTTTTGATCTTCGACAAAGGCCCAAAG